ACAACAATGGTGGCTGTGAGAAGAACAGTTTCATATAAAGGCAAGTAGCCTCCTCCAGCCTCCCGCACGGGAAGCGGAACAGCACAATGCTTTTTATTTGCTGTAGATAGACAAACAATGTTTAGAACTTTATCAGAAGTGATGTGGTTATGCTTTACATCCAGTGTGTGAAACCCTCAAGGTCTTTAAAAACTCTCCGCGAGCAATCGTACATCTATACCAGCTCTGCTACTCAACCTCCAGTGTATCTATGTGGCTAACTTAGTATTGTTGTGCTGGATGTTTTTCTCCTGTTTTAAATCTTAACACTGTGTATACGAAGCACATCAAAAAAGGCGGAGTTCCAGAGCACACCCACCGATTGCGTGATCTTCTCAATGGTAGCTGAAAGGTGTTTGGAAGCAAAATTAACTCCCCAAATAAATGTGCTTTAGTGAGCCGTTTCGAACTGTCAAAACAAACTATTTCAGCTCTTTTTTTAATATCGTTTAAAGTAAACCGGGGCCTGAAAATGTACAACACAGATTTGATAAGAAAAAATAGTTGCAGGCAGCAATTACCGGGTTCAAGCTTTTTAACACCAATAGGTGTATTTGTAAAAATGGACTGTTTATCCTTTAATAAATCTGTAACTAGTTTAAAGTGAAACAAAAATAACAAAACCCAACCATTTCAGGTCAACTACCAAAGAAAAACAGCATTTTCCATAGCATTGGTCGAAATCTGGTCAGGTCTTGATGCCCAATTCCGATTTGTTGTCTATATCGGATTTTTTTGCTTGTCCGTTTACAAATTTTTTTTAATTGTGACCCATATCCGGTTCATGTGTTTACCCTTGCTATACAATTTACAACGTCACGCATACGTAAAGGCGGGTTCTAGCATCTGCGCCACACCAGCCAGAATGAAAGAAATAGTCTTGCTTTTAGCTCTGTGAAATATGTGAACTTCGCCCAACTTTGAAATGATTTTGAGGCAGAGAAGGAGGGAAAGAGCAGTCATCGCAGCTTGCGCCTGGTCTATATATGGTGTCCTCAACCATTCAGAGGAATTTGTGGCTACGAGAGAGATCTCGGGTCTGGTGGGAGCAAATTGTGGCGACTGACATCTTTCCTCCTGTTGTCATTATTTACCGTGTCGGCGTCTCCACACGCCTTCTACGTCAATAAACTGTGGATAAGTACCACATTGTCGCAAGTTTAATGATGCACAAAACCGAATGCCTCAATAAATCTGATCTGCCAGTTTACATGATAGTCGCATTTAAACATATGCACTTTATATCTGATTTATTTCGACATATGAAGGAGGCCTGAAACTGATCTCTGAATATCAGAATGTAAGTGTTTTTTCTTGTTTACATGGTCATAGAACAGATCCGATCTGTGTCTCATATGAGCAAAAAATAGGAATTGGGTCACATTTAACTGGCAGCGTTAACGGGAACAAAGTGTGACCTTTTGTTGTTGTTAAACACTGTCATGCTTCTTTAGAATATGTTACACGTGTTATGCTGGTTCTTTATTCCAACTCGACTCACTTAAGCTTGTCTAAAAGGTGTTGAAACTTCATTAGCTGACGGCATCTATTTTTCCAGATGCATTAATCTCCTGATGGATTTTGGTGCCACCTTGAATAAAGAAACTGCTTCCAAATTTTCAAGTCAGTCAGACTTCTTGGTTAAAAGTTACTTTCATGTTTGTTTGTTTTTTGCACTGTAGTGTCAGCAAGTGGTCAAACAGTGTCCTTTTTAACAGTGACTTCTGACTGAGCATGTACTCTTAAATGAGATATCATCACCAAACTCACAATGAGTGTACATTGAATAGTTATGGATATTTGTGCAAAAGTGGCTCCGTCCACTTTGGACATTTGTCTGTCCTGTGGCGAACCTGAATCGAAATTTTCGATATATTTTGACTCCAGAGTTTTGGATTTGATTAGGTGAAAAACCAAGGACTAGTTTGTAAAATTATGTTTTTTCAAAGAAGCAAATTACCCCAATATTTCAGTGTAGTGGTAAACTCTTAACTATAAGGGGCCCGTTTCAGAAAGGAGGTTAAGTGAAAACACAGAGTATTTTAACCCTGAAATGAGAGAAACTCTGGGTTTTCCGTTTAAAATGGCAGGTTTGTAAAACTCGAGAAAGCAGGGTAAGTCAAGCCTGTTTCTAAAAGAGAGGTAACTTTAACTCAGAGTCAGTTACTGTGGTAACTTACTCTGTGAAACTAACCTGGTCAGTAACAGGTTTTATTCTCTAAACTCTGAGTTTCTGTCGGTCTCCTCCCCTTTGTTAAAGATGAAGCGGTTTTTCTCGCCTTAGCCTTACGTTTCCACCCACTTATTTTAATGCTCTTTTAGGATATGCACATACAAAACGATTGATGGAAATGTCATGATGCTCATAATTTTTGAAAATATGCATAAAAAACACGCATAACTGAATAGTATAAACTTTTAGTCAATAGAAAAGATGCACCTAAACTACGATGGAAACACTTTTACTGAACAAATTATGTGTGTTAAATGTTGTTTGAGTCACTCTAAAACGCCTTAACCGTTTCAGTATTAATGTTATTATATTATTGTCCTCCAGAGCCTCTGGAGCATGTCAAGAGCGTCTGTTTTCCGCATCTCATGGCTTCAAACGGCCCCATGCGTTCATTGTGTGTCAGCATTGTCTTCTGAGGCGCAAGTCCATTTATTAAATAAAGAAAAGATTGACGCAGCTTCTTCTACCGCAGTAAATTCTGCAATTTTACTGTTGATATTTGGCGCCCATTTAATCGGGAAGTGACGATTTTGTTCTCTTTGACTTGTTGGATAGAAACGCTGCTTTATTCGCACATCTTTTATACGATACTCCAGTTTTGCACATAAATTTAATTAATATGTTTGGATGGAAAAATAGCTATTGCCTACATTTCAGTCACACAAAGAACAAAGTCACGTACGAGATAGGCTTGTCCTTTTATAATAAATAATTAGCTTAAATTCACTGACCTTTAACAGGGACATGTACTGTTACAAGATGGGATAATTATTCTTTCTAAAAACTATTGTTTAGTCCTGCTTACATTCTAAATGTCACATCAACCTCTATCACTTGATCAATAATAGAGGCAGACACACAAGTGCACTTTTAAATCCATTAAACTGATCAATGTGTATAAAAGTGGGAACGTGTGTAAAAATGTTATAAACGTCACACATAACATTACTTATTAAATTATACTTAAATATTTAAATACTTTAAATGTAAAAATGACGCATTAACTTGAGCTGTTTTCCCACGCTAACTGTCTGTTTCACTGATGCAATGGTGTTGCTTTTTTAAATATATGGTCATATTTGCTATAACTCTGCATGAGCACATCAAGTTCAGCTGGAGAAAAAAACTCTTTTTTAAGATGTTGCCATGGTCACTCGTAATATCTGCACTCCATTAATAATGCCTTTTTATAGCCGTGGTGTGTGAGCTTAACTCTGAGTCTTCTACTCAAAGTTGATTGACCCAACTCAGATAAGCTATTCTGAAATTGAAAACTCAAGAGTTTTTAATCTCTCTGTAAATCAACTCAAAGCTTAAGTTTAAACTCAGAGTTGGTTGAATCTCCTTAATGAAAAAGGCCCATGGTCTACTGATCAGTTTTAAGGCAGAATGGTGACCTTTGGTGACGCTTGGACCCCTAATAAACCAATATCAGACACTGGTGAGGACTTCCCACTTTGAAACTCACACAGACAGCATTTATATCAGACACGTGTCCGGTGAAAGACTGCCTGCACATTCCATCTCGAATGTCCCACAGTTTGGAGGATGCATCGCAGGCACCCGACACAAATGTCTTGGAATCTGGACTGAGGGAGAGGCTCATCACGTCTCCGCTGTGGCCAGTAAATGTGGTCGTCTGCTGACCAGTCTCAATATCCCACAGAGCACTGCAAAAGAAAAAGACGACCTTGTGTATGCGTTGGCACTCTTTCAGTCAAGTCTTTGAAATCATTATTAAATACTCTCCATTTTACACAAGATTGTTTTACAAGTTTTAGCTTACAAATCCAATGTGTGGGTTGCTTTTTCAGGCCATTTCATGCTGTTGAATGTAAATAATGTTTTAAAATGGCTATTTTGTGCCCTGACAGACTTACCATGTTGTATCTCCAGAGCTGGTGACTATCTGACTATCATCTAAAAAGCGACAACATGACAAATAACCTGGGGAAGAGAAAGAGAAACACATCAGAATACGAGCGTCACTTTACAGCATGACGGATAGACACAGATGAATGCTGATGCCGCGGGTTACCTGTGTGTCCAGGCAGTTCTCTAGTGACTCTGACATTGCCCTCGCGGGTTTTAAGGCTGTAGATTGAGCAGATGTTGTCCAGGCCTCCGCAAGCTACATAATTCCCTGAAGGAGCGTAGGCACAAGTCATCACCCATGATGACCTTAATGGAATGGCATGAATCTAGAAAGAATTCCCAAAAATGAAAAAAAGACATTCCACATTTCAATCCACAGGTTTGAAAGAACAGGACAGAACTGTAGTTTTCCGTTTTATTTGACTTGAATTCATTTTTTATATTTGATTTAAGCTTCTTTTATTTACTAATTCGATCAGACCTCATATTATTTACACTCACCGGCCACTTTATTAGGTACACCTCACTATTAGCGGGTCAGACCCCTTTTTGACTTCAGAACTGCCTTAATCCCTCATGGCATAGATTGATGCAACAAGGTGCTGAAAATATTCCTCAGAGATTTTGCTCCATATTGACATGATAGCATCATGCAGTTGCTGCAGATTTGTCGGCTGCACATCCATGATGTGAATCTCCTGCTCCACCACATCCCAAAGATGCTCTATTGGATTGAGTTCTGGTGACTGTGGAGGCCATTTTAGTACAGTGAACTCATTGTCATGTTAAAAAAAACAGTCTGAGACAGTCTGCTGGAAGTAGCCATCAGAAGATGGGTACACTGTGGTCATACAGGAATGGACATGTTCAGCAGCAATACTCAGGTAGGCTGTGGCATTGATACAATGCTCAATTGGTATTAATGGGCCCAAAGTGTGCCAAGAAAATATCCCCCGCACCATTACAGCACAACCACCAGCCTAAACCATTGATACAAGGCAGGATGGATCCATGCTTTCATGTTGATTAAGCCAAATTCTGACCCGACCATCCCAATGTCGCAGCAGAAATCGAGACTCATCAGACCAAGCAACGTTTTTCCAATCTTCAAGTCCAACTTTAGTGAGCCAGTGTGCCTCAGTTTCCTGTTCTTAGCTCACAGGAATGACAACCGGAGTGGTCTTCTGGTGCTGTGGCCCATCTGCCTCAAGGTTGGACATGTTGTCCGTTCAGAAACGCTCATCTGCAGACCTTGGCTGCAACGAGTGGTTACTTGAGTTACTGTTGCCTTTCTATCAGCTGGAACCAGTCGGCCATTCTCCTCTGACCTCTGACATCTACAAGGCATTTGCACCCACAGAACTGCCGCTCACTGGATATTTTCTTTTTTTCAGACCATTCTCTGTAAAACCCTCGAGATGGTTGTGCGTGAAAATCCCAGTAGATCAGCAGTTTCTGAAATACTCAGACCAGCCTGTCTGGCACCAACAACCATGCCACGTTCAAAGTCACATAAATCATCTTTCTTGGACTGGGGTACATTATAAAGTGGCCAGTGAATGTATTTTTTTTATTATATATATTCAAAAGAGTGGTAATTAAATTTACAAGATTTGTTGAAGGGAAAAAAGATTGCAAAAAATGACGACAATCAAAAGATGATGTCTCTCATACATGATTGAACGATAACTGCCCATATTTTATTGATATTGATGTGTTGGACTGGACTAACCTTGTTTGTGGTGTAGCTGTCCCAAACGATGAGCTTGCCATCTTGTGAGGCACTAACTAGTAACCTTAAAAAAAAGAAAAAGCAAAGCGTAAGCCAAACGGCTGTTCACAAAACAACTCACAGATTAAAAGAACACTCCATAAAAAAAGACTGATCAATTTGCCCATAGAGTTTTGTTGAGTTTTTGAAAACTTTCAAAGCATTTTCCCAAAATATGTCATGTAAAAATGTGTCAAAATAATGTTTGTCACCAAAAACCATTCCATTTGCTGAAACACAGAGAAAGTTGTGGCCAAATTAAGCATCAAAATCACCCCAGAGTGAATGAAAACATCCCCAACAGCACACAAGGGTTAAAAAAGCCCCCTGGACACTTTCAGTTGAGTTGTACCATTTTAATCCATTCAGCTAATCTATGGGTTGGTCAGCAGCACTTTTAGCTTAGCTTTGCATAAGTCATTGGCTGTTTCTCAATATGCTTTAAGTGATCTTGCTTCCTTGTGTTCTTGTGTAACATCATCATCAACCACCAATACCAATTCAGTTTCAATACTCAAGATGCGTGAAAGAACCCGGATGTGTTCTTGATATCGAGAATGCATTGATAGTCATTGCGGCTAAATAAAGAAGGGGGAATCTGCAGCATTTTATATTGCCATTATATTTTTATAGAGATATAACTTAAGGGTGTTTATTTGCTGAAATTCACATGAAAATCTGTTTTATTTGTATTGTACAAAGTATCTTTGTAAGGTTTTGTATATTTTATATATGTTGAAAAAAATCCCTGTATAATTGTTTAAAGTATTTTCCATTCAAATGCGTGAAGGTTATGTGAACATCAGGAAGATAGCAGCAGTGCATGTTATCCCAAATTCGTTTTTCTGATGTAACTTGGCAAAACCGCTCTCCACGAAAATGTAATTCTGATCTCTGCATTCTTGGTATTGAGAAACAGCCATTAATGTACTAAAGAGTTCCTAGTCATATTAGCTGAAAAACAGCAACTTTTCATTTACTTTGTGTAAACAATGTAATGAGTAAAACTTTAAATAAGAAAATGATCTAAACCATTTTTTTTTATTTAGCGAGATGCTAGTGGTCTAATAGATTTTAATAATTTATGCTAAACTAAAAGTGCTTCCGTCAGATCCGGAGATTGTCTGAATAAATTTACAAATGGTAAAACTAATCTATTGTAAAATGAGCCTATTTTAAAAAAAATTGAGTTTTACTTTAATCATTATAACAAGATGAAAATTATAACAAGCTGGCATGAGCGAGATGTTAAGGGTCTAATCTGTTTCAACGATTTATGCTAAGGTAAAAGTGCTTTCACCAGACCAGTAGATCAGATGGTTAAAAGATGGTGAAACTCATCTGTTTAACTTTAGGAGAGTTGCAAAATAAGCCTATTTAACAAATAAATAAATTAATTAATTAAAAAAAAGGGTTTTACTTTAAACATTATAACAAGCTGAATCTTATAACAAGCTGGTATAAGCGAGATGTTAATGATCTAATATGTTTCAAAGATTTATACTAAGCTAAGCCAAAAGTGCTTCCATCAAACCAGGAGAATGCATTAAAATATGGTAAAAATCATTTGTTTAACTCTAGGGCACTTGTAAAATGAGCCTCTTTAAAAAAAAAAAAAAGGTTTTACTTTAATGAGCATGAGCGAGATGCTAATGGTCTAACTCGTTACAATGACTGATGCTAAGCTAAGCTAAAAGTGCTTCAACCAGATCCGGAGCTCAGCTTAATGCATTAAAATACCTCATAAACTCATCTGTTTAACTCCAGGGAACTTGTAAAATCAGCCTATTTATTTATTTAGTTTTTTTTTTACTTTAATCATTATAACAAGCTGGCACGAACGAGATGCTAATGGTCTAATCTGTTTCAATGATTTATGCTAAGCTAAGCTAAAAGTGTTTTCACCAGACCTGGAGATCGACTGAATGCATTAAAATATGGTAAAACTCATCTGTTTAACCCTAGGGAAGTTGTAAAATGAGCCTATGTAAAAAAAAAAAAAAGAAAAGGTATTACTTTAATCATTCTAACAAAGCTGGCATGAACAAAATGCTATTGGTCTAATCTGTTTCAATGATTTATGCTAAAAAAAGTGCTTCCACGAGACGCGGAGATTGGCTGAATGCATTTAAATACGGTAAAACTAATCTGTTTACTCTAGAGGAGTTGTAAAATAAGCCATCTTTTTAAAGAAAAAAGTTTTACTTTGATCATTATAACAAACTGACATGAGCGAGATGCTAATGGTCTAATTTGTTTCAATGATTGATGCTAAGCTAAGCTAAAAGTGCTTCAACCAGATCCGGAGCTCAGCTTAATGCATTAAAATATGGTAAAACTCATCTGTTAAACTCTAGGGAAGTTGTAAAATCAGCCTATGTAAAAAAAAATAATAATAAAAAAAAAGGTATTACTTTAATCATTATAACAAGTTGGCATGAACGAGATGCTAATGGTCTAATTTGTTTCAATGATTTATGCTAAGCTAAGCTAAAAGTGTTTTCACCAGACCTGGAGATCGACTGAATGCATTAAAATATAGTAAAACTCATCTGTTTAACCCTAGGGAAGTTGTAAAATAAGCCTATGTTAAAAAAAAAAAAAAAAAAAAAAAAAAAAAATTTAAAAGGTAGTATTACTTTAATCATTATAACAAGTTGGCAGGAACGAGATGCTAATGGTCTAATCTGTTTCAATGATTTATGCTAAACTAAGCTAAAAGTGCTTCCACAAGACCCGTAGATTGGCTGAATGCATTTAAATACGGTAAAACTAATCTGTTTACTCTAGAGGAGTAGTAAAATAAGCCATCTTTTTAAAGAAAAAAGTTTTACTTTGATCATTATAACAAACTGACATGAGCGAGATGCTAATGGTCTTATTTGTTTCAATGATTGATGCTAAGCTATGCTAAAAGTGCTTCTATCAGACCCGGAGATTGGCTGAAAGAATTTTATTAGGGTAAAGCCCAACTGTTTAACTCTAAGGGACTTGAAAAATAATCAAATTTAAGAAAAAAAAAAAAAAAACTGTGAACCATTCATTTGATCCTTGTGAACAATGATTAATGCATCTAATGCTAATAAAATTGAATGCTTTTAATCTTTTTATTCAAAAAATCAATTGCGTTTCCTCCCCAAGCACTAGAACAGATGCACAGAGCAAAGGGTGAAAAGAGAGCAGGAGGCAGCCTACATAATCCCAGAACACCCGTGAGTTGCGAGAGGCCTGCTGTATTATTCATCGAGTGTACACTGACAGAGCTGCAGGGTTCCTCCGAGAATGCCCATCCTCCAGCCCGCCTCAATCTCGCTGTCAACTGACCTGGAATCAGTGCCCCAGTGCATGGCGTAGATCTTGGCTAAATGGCCGCGGAGGGTCCGCCTCGTTCTCATCTGGATCCTTCCGACGGAATCCAGACCCGCCGTAATCTAAACACACAGAAATCATCAATTACAGTCGAGTTATGAAAGCAAGCAGAGGGCATTTTATCAATCCAAACCTGAAACTATGGTGTTTGAAACAGAAATGAACGTGTAATTATGACATGCACAAAATCATCAAGCCATGGGTTGGATGTTTAAATTTTGATGGGAGGACTTGGCGTGTAAGAGGGCGTTTAATATTTCAGTGCACTTAAGAGCATGTTCAGCATGTACGTCAGCAGGCCATTTGCATGTCTGTGTTGAACTCTGAGAACAGGAGAGTAGGGATCCTCCACAGAAGCGCGCTAAGAGTATGAAGAGGGAATCCAGCAGGGATAATGGCGGCGCTGCTTACCTGGGACAGGCTGGAGTCGCTGCATGCTTTCCTGGCATCCTGCAATGGGAACAGCAGCACGTCAAGAGTGCAGTCCTACTATTAGAACACCAGCAAAACTGCTTAAAACGTTCAGAGGTTTTCTAATAGCATGTAAGAGCTGCACGATATTGGGGAAAAAAACACATTACAATCTTTTTTGTTCAGAATCATTAGCTCTCCTGAAGATTTTTCCCCCTAATTTAACAGAAAGAAATGACACATTTCTAAACATATTAGTTTTAATTTCTAATTTTTAATAACCATACTCTTTAATCTTTGGCATCATGACAGTAGATCATATTTTACTAGATATTTTTAAGATACTAGTATTCAGCTTAAAGGTGACATTTAAAAGCTTAACTAGGGTAATTAGGCATTGTTTAATGATAGTATGTTCTGTAGCTAATCGAAAAAAATATATTGCTTAAGGGGGCTAATAATATTGACCTTAAAATGTTTTTAAAAATATAAATAACTGCTTTTGTTCTAGCCAAAATAAATTAAATAAGACTTTCTCCAGAAGAAAAAATATTATAGGAAATACTGTGAAAATTTCCTTACTCTGTTAAACGTCATTTGGGAAATATTTGAATAAGAAAATTAAATTGACAGGAAGGTGGGGGGGGCATTGACTTCAACTGTATATTGCAATATTATTATGATTCCAAAACATGATTTAATAACTTTATTTGTGAGGAATTCATCATTTTACATCGATAAAAGGAGTGCATCTGCCTAAAATTACAAGCAAGCATTAACGAATACAACAGAGCAAATAAATTTTGCTTAAAGGTTTTCTTCAGTCTAACAGAATTGAGGTTAGGGATGCTCATTTTGGATAATTTTGCAAACCAACATCCGCCACTCCTTAACCAAATATTAACAGTGAACTGGTCAAATTAATATTAAATTATTATTATTATTTTTTTTTAATTGACGTGTCTATTTTATTTTGTGCACGACAAATTAAATATTGCATTTTAAAATACTGATTTATTTCAACATGCGAACATATTAACAACAGAACATCTTCACGCACCTGCAGTGTTTCCAACAGCATAGAAAAACAGGATAAACTAAATAAAAAGAATACATATAAATAGTCCTGCCCTAGATATTTTTCACTTTTAAAACAATGAAAACACTGACTGAATCCTTTTCAAGAACCGGCATAGGCTGTTTTTTTCAATAATATATTTTTTCTTCTTCCATAAAAAAAACAAAAACAAGTAGGCTCCCTCAAATCCATCGCTCCACAGAAAATGGGCCTATGCATTTAACTAATGCACTGCTCTTATTCTTATATCACAAACCTCTGTCAACATTTTAATATAAGTCATTAAGATTATGTCTTGAGCATCTGATTTTACAGAGTTTGTGTGCTTTTATTTCCTCTCTCATTCGCGGTTCATGTGCACGCGCTGGGTGTGATGAAAGACAATGACGAGGTTCATATGTTGACTTTTTGTAAAGTGTAGGCTCCTATATCATACAACAATTTTGTTTTTTACATATGATATTGCATTCATTTGCATACGAGGCTTATAGACCATTTTGAGGGATGTAAACAAACCATTGTCCCAACGTACTTCCGGTTTTATTTCTATAGCTTCTGAGAATCTAAAAAGAGCCACATATTGATAAATACTGTTGTGACAGCTGTTTTAACATTAAATTATGATTGAATTGCCTCTTGTTACTGTTCTGAAGTTTGATAACAAGCAGGAAATGTTTATGGGCCAATAACATCCCCTCACTGAAATGGTCTATAAGCTGTAAAATGAAAGCCTCCGTTTGGTGCGGTCGATCATGCGGAACGCACTTTTCTGTTCCAAAAACGCAAGGCACACCACACTGCCTTTTTGTTGACAAGAAAAAAAAGAAGCGCGATGCTCTTTTTTTGTCACTAGAAAATGACTGAATCAGCTGCGTATTGTGATGGAGTGTTGCTTTCAATGTCGTTATAATTGTAACATTTAATAATACTGTGATATTCAAGATTTGTGAGTCATCCAGCTCTGTATAACTTGAAACCACAAGTCTCTCCTCCATCTTTAAAAGTTCTCCGTAGTCGTCTTCACAACACAAACACTGCTGTCACCTCAAGGGAAACCTTGCCTCTGCTTTAAATTGATTGAAGAATGAAAATGAGCAAATACGCGAAGTTCGCATAAGCAGTCACGACCATTAATAAACCAATAAAAAGATGTGCCTCTCAATGCAAAAAGCGAGTTGGCCTCTTGTGCAGCCAAACTTATATAAAATAAAAATTTTAATCTGTTAAAAAGGCACCCATTCGGTTAATCAGTTTTTGAGCATCCCTAATTAGGGTACAAAACTCAATTATTAAATGTTTGTTTGTTTAAGCTTCAATTAGTATAACCTATTGTGCCCAAATGGTTTTAGGTAGCTTTAAATCTCTGTCACAGGCCTTAAAAGAATCTTTCACTTTATTAGGGTTAAACTTTGCATAAACATATGCTGTAGGTGAATTGGGTAAGCTAAATTGTTCGTAGTGTATGCGTGTATGTGCTGGTCCTCTAGATTGGGAGTTTAGCACGGGGCTAACAACACACCTCATAAATAAACTATATGCAATAAAACACAAATATGGTGTGGCTAAAATATCAATTTCGATATAAATGACCCTGGTAGTAAGTAAGAGTAAGTTAATATAACTCATATTCTGTTAATAGGTTGTTTTCACATGACGTCATTAATGGGGTGCAAAATTCAGATGGAGGGCAGGAAGTGATTCTTCTTCAAAGGAATCATTATCAAAACATCAAAATGTTTATGTTCTATTTTGTTTACAATTGTTTAAATTGGCCAAAATGAGAAATACTGAACAGCCTTTATAGAGTTACAAACTCATAAAGGGGAAACTGTAATAAATACTGCAACATTAGTGAAAACTGTGGTGAAGTGATGGTGCATAATTGCAGTGTAAAAAATTTAGCCTATTGGATAATTTGTTTATTACTCCAGTTGTGTTGTAGATGGCAACCATATAATTACTACGACAGTTACTTTAAAACACTACACTATTTACTAAAGTATATTTTTATGTAATAGCTTACAGTATCTACCACCTCGATGACAGACAAATATATTTTATTTTTTATCATAATATAGGCATCATGCCCAACATGTGGTTATATATATATATATATATATATATATATATATATATATATATATATATATATATATATATATATATATATATATATATATATATATATATATATATATATATATATATATATATATATATATA